GGCATAAATCAAAGTATAAAAAATTTTTTGATCCAAAAACATTTAGATAAAATTTTTTAAATAAAAGTATAAATAACTAGATGGAATACTAATTATTTTATCTTGTTGATTGTATCTTTTAAGCCAATTGATATTCTTTCTGGGACAAGGTTGTATAGACATGTTTTAACATTTTTTAGTGGAAGATTTACTTCAATAATTGTTTTTTAAGAGAGCAGTTTTAGGGTTATAGATGATAGCTTATTTTTAAGACTTATTTTAATAACTTATGAAATCTCACTGTTGGATTCCACCCCTCATTCTGGCTCAGTGCCATTTCTTGGGGCAGGGGCCTTGGTTATGCCATTTAACACACTACCCTCCCCTGCCACCAGGCTGGTGCCTGTCACTCTGGTAGCTCTGTCTCTGTTGGTGTTATTGATAGAAACGTTGAAATGTAGAAATGTTGACCATGGCAGACAGCAGGCAGAGCTCTTCCTCCAGGCTTCCTATTCATCAGGGTGTGCGTGTGCGCGCGCGTGCGCGCGCGTTAGCATGGCGATCCCATGCACAATGGGAGATTGCCAGGCCTTTCTTCCTAGTCTGCCTTAGACTGGAAGCTTTGCTGAAACATGTTCAGCATCACAGCAAACCTCAAGCCTCCACTGACAGATGGGTGGTGGCTATGCTTGACGTGCATTGGTTGGGAATTGAACTCAGGTCTCCTGCCTGGAAGGTGAGAATACTACCACCACTGCCCTCATTCCCCGGGTAGAGCTGCTCAGTCAAGTCAGCCCATCACCCAAGCCTATGTTTTCCCTCTACTCTGCTGACTTTGTCTGCTCCTTCGCTGAAACCCAGACACTCAGAGCTCTTCTGTCTCCCTGACCAACCCTGCCAAAAAGGAAGCAAGGTTAGTCTGGGGAGACTCTTTCTAGTTGTGGCAGACACGATTGGTGAGCTACCCAATATCTTGTATTTACCCTTTTCTTCCTTACTGGCAGAACCCTGGTTTTTATCAAGGGGGCAATGTGTGCAGAGAATATACACCTTGTCCTCACTTATCGACTATCTCATTATCCAACATTTTGCATTTATGACAATAGTAAAAAATCTACTATCTGACTATTTTGCACAGTAATGATGTATGTCTGGCAGTAACAAACACCAAGGTGCGAGGCAATAGTAACTCTGGCTTTGATGGTTAAGGTTATGTGTCAGTTTGTCTGGCCCATGATTCTCAGTGGTTTGGCAATTATGTAATGATGTAATCCTCCTCCATTTTGTGATCTGATGTGGTCAACGTCCATTTTTGCATAACACCAATTTCATATAATGACCTGGTCTTTGGAACCTAGCCATGTCAATAGATGAGGAGAGGGTGTATTCAATTTCCCAGCTTCCCTTGCAGCAAGGGATGGTCATGTGACATAGTTCCAGCCAATGTCCAGATATGTCCCTGGAGTGGACATCCCTTCTGGAAAACCAAAAGGCAAAGCCTCTCTAGGAAAAAGCCCTTTGCCCCTGTCCTGCCTGGAATCACTATATTTCCTCATTTCATCCTCAAGTTTGATAGACAGAGCAGGCATTATCCCCATTTTACAGATGAGGAAATCGACATTGAGAAGTGAATTGACTTTCTCAAGTTTACAGGGCTCAGATAACTCCTACATGAAAACCAGAGTGGTCGACTTTTATCCATTGATATTAATTTGCCTCAGGTTTCTTTTTTCGGCCTGGTTGCCAGGAAGCTCAGAGCCTAATGTGAAGCTCAGGCTCATCCAGAACTAACCTTTAACTTTGGCATTTTGCTTTTTCCTCCTTTCCCTAGTCCCCATTGCCTGTTATGAGGCTTGAGAGAGCTATCTTTTCTTGTAAGCTGTCTCAAGCTCTTTTTTTAGAAAGATGGAAGGGGAGGGGCACGTCAGGTATGCTTTGTTAGTCTCTCCAGATCTTCTTTCCACTCTGCTCTGGGCAGCAGGAGACAAGTGCCTGGACCACATCCATTGACTCCTTGACCCCCTGGTTTCTGCTTGGGTTTAGCCAATGAAGAGCACCAATAGGAGGGGAGTGAGGTCCCTGTGGGTAGCCACAGGCTAGCTGCACCCCTTGCCTGTCAGGAAGCCTCGTCCACAGTCTTGTGCCAGGTAATCACTCCCTCCCTTCCTGCCCCAGGCTAGGGGTGCTGAGGCCACTATAAATGACCTGGACACTGCCCTCTCTCTTTTGGTTTCCTACACCTGTCCACACCTTTGTAAATTGTGCCTTTACTAAATTCTTCTCAAATTACCCAATTTGAGTGTTTCCTGTTGGGGCCCTGACTGCTACGCAGAGTAGATAGTGCATTGTGAAAACACCTTCTGGGATCTCTTAAAGCTCCGTCACGTCCCCCCACCCCCCACCACAGCTCCCATCGTGGATGCTCAGCATGTCTGCCTCAAACAGCCACCTCCTCATTGAGGTCTCTGCCACATCTGTTATGGATTAAATTGTGTCACCAAAATATGTATTGGAATCCTAATCCCTATTCCTGTGGATGTAATCTAATATAATGTAATCACTTTCCATAACACAATCTGACATAATCAATCATTTGAGGTCATACCAGTGCAGGGTGGGTCCTAAACCTAATCACTTTGGAGTTATACATAAAGCGCAGCATAGACACAGACACAAGCATGCACAAACAGGGGAGGACAGACAGCATCGGAGGACTGTCTACAAACCAAGGAGCCAAGGACTACCTACAAGGAAGGAATAGACTGGCTGGGAGCCTGATTTGGACTTTTAACCTCTAGAACTGTGAGAAAATAAGTTTCTGTTCTTTAAAAACCCCCAATTTATGGTATTTGTATTACAGCAACACTAGGAAATGAAGACAATGTCCCACTGCTCCTCCATGAATGAGCCCAAGGCAGGCGAGAGCCACAGGTTCCATGCTGTGTTCTCAGGTTTGCCAGATGGAGTACCCAGGCCTCCCCAGGAGGGAGAAGTCGGGGATATCGGTGGGGAACCGTCACATAAGCAAGTTCTACCAACATGATGGGTGGAATAATAGCTGCGTATAGGGCATTAAGGAGCATAGAGGAAGAGGCCTGGCTGGGCTGGTGGTAGAGGTAACCCCAGAAGTGGCCCCAGAGTGATGCCTGAGCTGGATCCAAATGAATAAGCAGGTGAAGGCATTCCAAGCAGAGGGAAGGGCATGAAGAAAGAACGAGAGGCAAGAACCAGCGGGGAGGATGCTGGCTGTCATTTGGTGTTGCCTGAGAGCAGAGTGGGAGGCAGGTGGCCAGGACATGGGGGATGTGACACCCAAGAGAGATGTCAAATGTGTACTACGATTGTCCTGTGGGGTCGGGTGGGGTGGGGAGGGAGGGTGAGAGGCCATCAAGGAGGTAGCCTGTTAGAGAGAAGAATAAGGCCTGGGGTCCCTGAAGGGGAGACTCACCCTCAGTCATCTCTTCACTCCTCACAGCCTCCTAAGATTCTAAGTTGGAGCCCTACGAATGTGTATTTGGTTAAGATGACTCCTGTTCCTCAAACACCTGTTTCTCCCCAATTCCCCTCTCCTTGTCTTTCTCACACTCACACTCACACACACACACACACACACACACACACACACACACACACAAGGTAACCATGAGGACACACAGAACCCAGCCATGGGGAACTATGGGGATCCCCTCATCTCTCCCACCTCACTCCCTTAAACAGCCTCCACTGGATCTGTGTGTTATTTTTATTTTCTTTGCTTTGGTCTATACAAAAAACCAATAACCAAAAACGTAAAGCCATAATAATAAAACTCTTCATTGGGACCTCCCCTAGCTCCCCCCTCCATGTGCAAGAGGTAGGGGGGCAGTTTGAAACAGAAAGGGGAAGAAGCCCCTCACCGCATCGCACA